CATCTCATCAGGGTTGGGATCGAATCCACGACCTCCTGCCTGCCCGGCGAGGTAGTTAACATCTCATCAGGGTTGGGATCGAACCCACGACCTCTTGTGTATACCCGGCGAGGTAGTTAACATCTCATCAGGGTTGGGATCGAACCCCCGAACTCCTGCGTACCAGGCGAGATAGTTAACATCTCATCAGGGTCCGGATAGAACCCACGACTTCCTGCGTACCAGGCGAGATAGTTAACATCTCATCAGGGTCCGGATAGAACCCACGACCTTCCTGCGTACCAGGCGAGGCAGTTAACATCTCATCAGGGTTGGGATCGAACCCACGACCTCCTGTGTATACCAGACGAGGTAGTTAACATCTCATCAGGGTTGGGATCGAACCCCTGATCTCCTGTGTACCAGACGAGGTAGTTAACATCTCATCAGGGTTGGGATCGAACCCACGACCTCCTGCGTACCATGGAAGGTAGTTAACATCTCATCAGGGTCGTGATAGAACCCACGACCTCCTGTATATCAGGCGAGGTAGTTAACATCTCGTCAGGGTTGCGATCGAACCCCTGATCTCCTGTGTACCAGGCGAGGTAGTTAACATCTCATCAGGGTTGGGATCGAACCCACGACCTCCTGCGTACCAGGCGAGGTAGTTAACATCTCATCAGGGTCGTCATAGAACCCACGACTTCCTGCGTACCAGGCGAGGTAGTTAACATCTCATCAGGGTCCGGATAGAACCCACGACTTCCTGCGTACCAGGCGAGGTAGTTAACATCTCATCAGGGTTCGGATCGAACCCACGACCTCCTGCGTACCAGGCGAGGTAGTTAACATCTCATCAGGGTTGGGATAGAACCCACGACTTCCTGCGTACCAGGCGAGGTAGTCAACATCTCATCAGGGTTGGGATCGAACCCCCGACCTCCTGCATACCAAGCGAAGTAGTTAACATCTCATCAGGGTTGGGATCGAATCCACGACCTCCTGTATACCTGGCGAGGTAGTTAACATCTCATTAGGGTTGGGATCGAACCCCTGATCTCCTGTGTACCAGGCGAGGTAGTTAACATCTCATCAGGGTCTGGATAGAACCCACGACCTCCTGCGAACCAGGCGAGGTAGTTAACATCTCATCAGGGTCCGGATCGAACCCACGACCTCCTGCGTGCCAGGCGAGGTAGTTAACATCTCATCAGGGTCCGGATCGAACCCACGACCTCCTGTGTACCAGGCGAGGTAGTTAACATCTCATCAGGGTCCGGATAGAACCCACGACTTCCTGCGTACCAGGCGAGGTAGTTAACATCTCATCAGGGTAGGGATAGAACCCACGACCTCCTGCGTACCAGGCGAGGTAGTTAACATCTCATCAGGGTCCAGATCGAACCCACGACCTCCTGTATACCTTGCGAGGTAGTTAACATCTCATCAGGGTCCGGATAGAACCCACGACCTCCTGTGTACCAGGCGAGGTAGTCAACATCTCATCAGGGTTGGGATCGAACCCACGACTTCCTGCGTACCAGGCGAGGTAGTTAACATCTCATCAGGGTCCGGATCGAACCCACGACTTCCTGCGTACCAGGCGAGGTAGTTAACATCTCATCAGGGTTGGGATCGAACCCACGACCTCCTGCGTACCAGGCGAGGTAGTTAACATCTCATCAGGGTCCGGATAGAACCCACGACCTCCTGCGTACCAGGCGAGGTAGTTAACATCTCATCAGGGTCCGGATAGAACCCACGACTTCCTGCGTACCAGGCGAGGTAGTTAACATCTCATCAGGGCCCGGATCGAACCCACGACATCGCGCAAACTCCAAGCGTATCGTCGCAAACCTGGACATTCATCGCAGCCGAATAATAATAATAATCCGGGGGCGCAAATTAGACGAACGTGGACAGCGAGCGGCGCTTCCGGACGCCGCCGCCTCCTCCTCCTCCTCCTCCGCGGCCGTCTGGAACGCTCCTCCCGTCCGATGTCAGGAGGGAAAGCCATGGTGGGGGGCGGGGTGCGGGGGCGGGTAGCGTGGATTCGCTTGAGCGCAACCACCACCGTGCGTAGCCAGCCGGGCCGATTGGAACTGCCGGGGATTTTATTGCAATTGGTAAAATCTCCTTTCCCCCCTTTCCCCCCCTCGCCAAACTGCAAGTCCACCGGCACGTACACCACCCCTCTTTGCTCGCACACGGTTTAAAGGTCCGATGTCTGAGCGTGGTTGTGTTTCGCTAAATTCTCCTGTCTGATGAGCACTAGGTGCCTCGGTGAATGCGTATGCTCTGATTTTTAACGTAGCTATTTCTGTGACCAGTTACTAGCTAATCACTCGGCTATTTCAATGCTGAATTATATGCTAATTCCTTTTCACAAGGGGCGCCTCTGCGGATGTGTATACTTTAACTTAGCTATTTCAATGCTAAATTCTATGCTAATTCCTTTGTCAAGGGGCACCTCTGCGGATGTGTATACTTTAACTTAGCTATTTCAATGAGCCATTTCAGTGCTAAATTCTATGCTAATTCCTTTGTCAAGGGGTACCTCTGCGGATGTGTATACTTTAACTTAGCTATTTCAATGAGCCATTTCAGTGCTAAATTCTATGCTAATTCCTTTGTCAAGGGGCACCTCTGCGGATGTGTATACTTTAACTTAGCTATTTCAATGAGCCATTTCAGTGCTAAATTCTATGCTAATTCCTTTGTCAAGGGGCACCTCTGCGGATGTGTATACTTTAACTTAGCTATTTCAATGAGCCATTTCAGTGCTAAATTCTATGCTAATTCCTTTGTCAAGGGGTACCTCTGCGGATGTGTATACTTTAACTTAGCTATTTCAATGAGCCATTTCAGTGCTAAATTCTATGCTAATTCCTTTGTCAAGGGGCACCTCTGCGGATGTGTATACTTTAACTTAGCTATTTCAATGAGCCATTTCAATGCTAAATTATTTGCTAATTCCTTTGTCAAGGGGCGCCTCTGCGGATGTGTATGCTTTAACTTAGCTATTTCAATGAGCCATTTCAGTGCTAAATTCTATGCGAATTCCTTTGTCAATGGGCACCTCTGCGGATGTGTATACTTTAACTTAGCTATTTCAGTGAGCCATTTCAGTGCTAAATTCTATGCTAATTCCTTTGTCAAGGGGCACCTCTGCGGATGTGTATACTTTAACTTAGCTATTTCAATGAGCCATTTCAATGCTAAATTCTATGCTAATTCCTTTGTCAAGGGGCGCCTCTGCGGATGTGTATACTTTAACTTAGCTATTTCAATGAGCCATTTCAATGCTAAATTATTTGCTAATTCCTTTGTCAAAGCCCGTGGTCTTCTTCTTCTTCTCACACAGCTTAAAGGTCGTGATCTGAGCGTGGCTTCTCCCACTCCAGCGCTGTCCTACCAGACGGGTCGCGTCCCCTTCACCTGATGAAGGCCGCTTGCGTTGTGGCCGAAACGTCGCGATTTTTTGTTGTTTTATTTTCACCTACGTGACGACGTTCCGCTGGGCGTTCGTACGCGGCCGGCGAGCAAATTGGGGGTTGGGGTGGGACGGGCGGGCGGGGAGGGAGGGAGGGAGGAGGGTGGGTTGTCGTTCACCCCGGCGGCGGTGTTGATTGACGGAGATATGGGTCGTAATTACTGGTGTCGCGTGTTTGTGTTGGTGTGTGTGTGTTGGTGTGTGTGTGTGCCGGTGTGCGTTAGTGTGTGTGTGTGTGTTGGTGTGTGCCAGTGTGCGTTAGTGTGTGTGTGTTGGTGTGTGTGTGTGTGCCAGTGTGCGTTAGTGTGTGTGTGTTGGTGCGTGTGTTGGTGTGTGTGTGTGTGCCAGTGTGCGTTAGTGTGTGTGTGTGTGTGTTGGTGTGTGTGTGTGCCAGTGTGCGTTAGTGTGTGTGGCCTCACGGTGCACATAGCCTGGCACAAGCGTCGTGATGACGTCACCGCCACTTAGTGGCGAATGGCGGTTGTTGTTGTTGTTAGTGTGTGTGTGTCTGTGTGTTGGTGTGTTTGTGTGCGCGTGTTAGTGTGTGTGCTGGTGTTGGTGTGTGTGTTAGCGGGGAGGGGGGTAGTGTAGCGGTTAGCGCTACGCTGCGCTACGAACCTGGCGACCCGGGTTCGATTCCCGCTCATGGCCAACACACGCAGTGACGATTCTGCTTCTGTGTGTAGGACCACACAGAAGCAGCAGACTCACACACAGGGACAGCTGCCACTGGGGGTGCCCCCTAGGCTACAGGACCACACAGAAGCAGCAGCAGACTCAAACACAGGGACAGCTGCCACTGGGGGTGCCCCCTAGGCTACAGGACCACACAGCAGCAACAGACTCACACACAGGGACAGCTGCCACTGGGGGTGCCCCCTAGGCTACAGGACCACACAGCAGCAGCAGCAGTCTCACACACAGGGACAGCTGCCACTGGGGGTGCCCCCTAGGCTACAGGACCACACAGCAGCAGCAGCAGTCTCACACACAGGGACAGCTGCCACTGGGAGTGCCACTAGGCTATAGGACCACACAGCAGCAGACACACAGGGACAGCTGCCACTGGGGGTGTCCCCTAGGCTATAGGACCACACAGCAGCAGACACACAGGGACAGCTGCCACTGGGGGTGCCCCCTAGGCTACAGGACCACACAGAAGCAGCAGCAGTCTCACACACAGGGACAGCTGCCACTGGGGGTGCCCCCTAGGCTACAGGACCACACAGAAGCACACACAGGGACAGCTGCCACTGGGAGTGCCACTAGGCTATAGGACCACACAGCAGCAGACACACAGGGACAGCTGCCACTGGGGGTGCCCCCTAGGCTACAGGACCACACAGAAGCAGCAGCAGCAGTCTCACACACACAGGGACAGCCACTCCGTGACCTTTCGTAACCCCCACCCCCTCTGCCACCGTGACCTACCGTGACCCCCCCCCCCCCACGCGACCTCCACGCGACCTCCACGCGGCCGCCACCCCCCCGGACTGACCGCGTGACCCGGCGTCTCTCCGCCCAGGCACCCGGACCGCGGCGGCGCCTACGACCTGTACCACGGCGCCAACAGCGGCGCCAGCAGCAGCAGCAGTAGCCGGGGCGGCGGCGGTGGCTACGAGCTGGATTACTACCGGGAGAGCTCGCGCCCGGGACCCTACTACGGTGCCGGCTCCCGGACCGGCGGGGGGCAGCGCTACGATGGGGGGGGGCCCTCCGGCGGGGGTGCGCCGCCGCTGCCCCCGGCCATGGGGGGCGGCGGGGGGCCCGCGCTGCCGCCGCCGCCGCCGCTGGCGCCGCCGCGCTACCGGGACGGTTACCGGGACGACGGCGGAGGCGGCGGAGGCGGCGGAGGCGGCGGAGGCGGCGGCGGAGGCGGCGGAGGCGGTGGAGGCGGCGCGGCCGCGTCCTCTTCGTCGTCTTCCGGCGGCGGCGGCGGCTCGAAGGAGAAGCTGGC